ATTCATTCATTCATTCGGCTTCTCTGGGTGTTTGTTGCGACATGCCGGATCTAGTTTCCAAACAAGGGATGAAACAAGAGCCCTCTGCACCGGGAACACGGAGTTTTAGCCACTGGACCACCAGGGAAGTGGGCGGTTGGTGTCTTTAGACAATGAGTCAATTGCTAATCTTTTCCCACTTTTTTATAGTTATAGCAATTATCATTTACTAAACATTCTCTTTGCAAGGTTCTTGATAAGTGCTTTGCTATTCCATGATTTTAACAGTTAACAGTGCAGGTTTTCCAAGCAACCTGTGATTCTACTTACCTCCATCACTTTCTTAGGGGTAACCTTGGGAGTTTATGTAACTTCTCCTAACCTTAATTCCCTAGTGTATAAATCATGGATCTGTTAGATATCTAAAGTGCCTAGCACATACTGAGTGCTCAACAAATAATAATTACGGTGACAGTACAGTCATGACACTCTATTTAATGTAGTTTCCTTTGTTATCCAAATTTTACTGCTGAGGAAACTGAACCAAGCTTGGAGAGATTATAATTTACCCAGAGTCACTCGTCTAGGCCTGTAGGGATTTAAACCCAGGCAAATCTGAACAAATACATGAAGGGTATTAAATTGCTAATGGTGATTAATGACTGGATAAATGCAACACACAGTATTGTTGCATACTGTGCAACAATGGAATATATGGAATATATACAATGGAATACTATTTAACAATAAAAAGGAATGGAGTACTTATACATGCTATAACATGGATGACCCTCAAATACATGCTAAGTGAAAGAAGCCAGACACAAAAGACAACATATTATATGATTCCATTTATATGATATGTCCAAGAAAAGGCAAAAAAAAAAATCTTTAGAGAGGAAGTGGATTGGTAGTTGCTGCTTAGGGTTGGGAGTGGGTAGAGGTGGTGATGGGAAGCTGATGAGTACTGAGTTTCTTTGGAGAGATACAAAAATGTCCTAAAATTAGATTGTGGTAATGGTTGCACATCCCTGTGAATTTACTAAAAAAACAATAAAGTGTACACTTTAAATAGGTGAATTGTAAGATATTTGGATTATATATCAATAAAGTTGTTAAAATGGTTTTTACTGGTATTTGCCTGTGACACCTGCATTGGAAGGGAAGTGAGGGGAATTTTTAACACTTAACTTTACACATTTGCAATTTTTAAAATGTTTTTCAATATACATGTTATTTTATTTTATTTTTTTACATGTTATTTTAAAACTACAAAATAGAAAAAAAATTTTTTTTGGCCAAGTCACATGGCTTGCGGAATCTTAGTTCCCTGACTGAAGATTGAACCCAGGGCCACAGCAATGAAAGAACTGAGTCCTAACCACCGGACCACCAGGGAACTCCCTACAAAAGTACTTTTAAAACAATTAATTTACTTTAAAAATCAACAAGTAAATAAAATGTCAACCCACACCCAGATGGCCTAATTCATATGGAGAGTCCCCGTTGTGTTATTCACTCAACAAACATGTCCTGATGGCCCACTGGGTAGTGATTATACAAATATGAATGATACACACCTCCTGCCCTGGCTGGCTGCCAGCCTAGTTGGGAATGAGCTCTGGACATCAATAACTACAATACCCTGTGTTTAGACGCTATGGAACAGAGGAGGGGATGACTAATGAGGTGGAGAGGCGTCCCAAAGCCAGGGGTGTTTGAACTGGGAGCGGGGAAGAACACACAAGTCCAAGGCTTCAAGGATGGGCTTCCACAGAAGAGGTGAGTGCCTCTGAGGGCCCCATGATAAGATGGCTAAACTTGTTTCTCCAACAGATGCTCCCCTAAGACTTTGGGGGCCATATGTAGCCAATCTATCCCATGGGGACAGCCAAGTAGTCACGAGAGAGGCCCAACCCCAAGGGAAGGCTGCCCAGAAGGAGACTGCATGAAAAGGTAACCCAGGCAACATAGCCGAAATTCCTGCCTGGCCTGTCCCCACTCAGAGCCTCCCTGCAACTTTCCTAACTTGAGGCTGCCTATGTTCTCCCCCCCACCCCCCTACCAAAGCACATTATCCTAGAAAATAGTTTTTGTTTTTTTTTTCTTAACTAACTTTTTAGGCAGAGGTATTAAGTACTGGATATACAAAGGGCTAGAACATGAGCTAAGCTTCATGTATGTCCTCCAAGGAGAAATATCCTGTTGAACATTAAACAGGTTTAGAGCTCAGAAGAAAATCACAGATAGAGTTATTGAAGGTTTAAGTAGAAATTGAAGCCTTTAAAGTGAAGTTACCCAGGGAGAGTCTAGAATACTAAGATTTGCTAGACGCTTACAAGCTGCCAGAGAGCTGATCTGAGCCTTTCACAATTGTACACTCATCAAATCCTCACTAAATCTCCTTCAGGATGTGTACCAGGTGTTAGGTACATATCATTAGGTACATATGTAGGTGTTACCATACCAAGTATGGTGTTAGCATGCTCTCATTCACTTTTCTCAGGAATTTCTGAGAATTAAGCACTATGATCGGCCTGACTCACAGAGAGGACAGTGAAGCTCACAGAGCGGTCAGAAAGTGTCTGAGCCAGAATTCTCACTCTTCTCTGGTCAACTCCAACCCCGCCTGTCTCCTGCCAACATTAGGGATTTCTCCCTGTTCTACACTAAATTCTTCCAGACCCTTTTGCTGTACCAATGTGGACATTTCAGGGGAGAGAGATCAGACAAAGTTTTCACTCTCCCAAGGACGGTAAATTCCATATAGCACTCAGTTCTCAGCTGAAAATGGGTATGATTCATTGTCTGAACAGTCCTGGGCTGCCAAGCTGGCAAAGAAAATGAACACAGATTTGCTTGGGGTCAAGGCTCCCCAGATGGATGCTGCCTGCACAGAACACAGGCTTTGTGGTCATACTCCTGAAGGTCATTCTCAGCTCTGCTACTTCCTAGCTGGGTGTTTTGTGACTCCCAGTCTCAGTATTCTCATCAGCAGAATGGGAATAATTATAGCATTGACCACAGAGGGTTGTTGTGAGGATCTAAGTACATAATCACTATAAAATATGTTCAGCATAGATAGAGCCTGGGACACAATTAGAAGTCAAGAAGTATTAGACAATCAGAAGTCAAGAAGTATTAGCTATCATTGTCATTTTGTTTGTTGTTCTGTTTATATACTGGCAATGCCTCAGGCTATCTCCAAATTTCTTCCTTAACCTTTTCTTCCCTCAGGGGAGAGCCAGAGCTTTAGATTTCTGAAGATGCTCCAGAGACGTCATGATCTAAGAATGTTTCCTTTCCCTCCCAGTCTCCCTCTTTTCCTGGGAGCATACAGGAGCCCAGAGCTAGGCATCTAGATCAGTGGGGGTTCTTTCCAACACTGGCTCCAATATTGATGGATGAAAGAGAGTAGCAAGACAGGGAGGGAAGGGTTTTCCAGGCATAGGGAAGAGCATTTAGGAAACCTTGCAACAGCTTTATGCATTCTAGGAACTCCAAGTAATCCCACACTTTAGTGAGGGCTAAAAATCTTCAACCCATGAGGTATTCCAGCTATTGGTCCAAACCTTCTCAGTTGACTTTCAAGGCCGTTTACAAACTTGCCCCAACCTACTTCCCACTTCTCCCCATCCCCATCCTCAAGCCCCGACCCTTTGTTATAGCCACTCTAAGGGTTTCCCTTAGGACTTCCCTGGTGGTCTAACAGCTAAGACTCCATGCTCCCAATGCAGGGGGGCTGGGTTCGATCCCTGGTCAGGGAAGTAGATCCCACATGCTATGACTAAGACCTGGCACTGCCAAATAAATAAAAATATTAATAAATAAATAAATAAATAAGGGTTTCCCTTTCTTCAAGCATATCTTTCACTTTCTGGCCTCTGGCCTCCCGAACTTTGCCCAGGCTGCCCATCCCCTAAAGGGAATGTTCTAACCCCTCCCCTTTTCGCTGAGCTAACGACTCAATGAACAGGAATTTGAGCAAACTCCGGGAGATAGTGGAGGCAGAGGAGTGCTGCAGTCCGGAGTGTTGCAGTCCATGGGGTCCCAAAGAGTCGGACTTCGCGACTGAACAACAAACTCTCATCTTCCAAGACCCAACTCAGAGGACATCTCCTCCAGAATGTAGAACTTCCAGAGCAGAAGTTCGAGGCCCCCTAATCCCTAGAACCCAGGCTATCATTTCTGTTGAATAATTAATCATGTCAAGGAAATCTTTCCTGAATACTCCAAGATAAACGCCCCACTGCGCTGCCCCGCTGCACACCTTGTCCATGCTTTGTTATGAACTTCTTGAGGCAAGCATCATTTCTTATGCTCATTTCTTTTTCTTCAGTGTCTAATAAACTGTACCTACCACATAGGAGGTGCTGAGTACGAGTTTGTTGAATGAATGAAGAATTGGGCGTGGCTTTTCAGCTTCCACGTCCAGTGAGCCCGCCAGGCGCGGCCCAGAGTCTTTACCTCTACCCCTATCCCAGATCTACCTCCAGGGCCCGGAACAGTCTGCAGCCTAGAGCGTCGTCACCCAGGCCCCACCCTCCCAGCCCCTTAGGCTCTCACTGGGTCCGCTCAGCCCAAATCCGCTCCGGAGACGGTTCCGCCCACAACCAGGATTGGAGGGAGGAGGCAACGCCCACCTGGCGGGACCGCCTGGGATTGGTAAGCCCGCAGATGGGGGCGGGGACAGCGCCGGGCCGCTGTTGACGATTTCCCAGCCAGAAAAGCCCAGCCCAGTGGCTGGTCAAGAGACTCGCGGCGCGCCTGGGCGGCGTAAGTGTGCGGCGGCTGGACTGGCCGGACGGGCGGGAGCGGAGGACGCAGACGACCCGGGAGAGCGCGCTGGGCGCTACCCACGTCCGCCTCCTCCACTGACTGCCCTCCGCCAGGCGCGCTGCCCCAACCCAGTGCCGGACCCGCCCGGGGGACCCCGCCCGGTGGCCTAGGAGGTCGTCAGTCCCGCCTTGTTTTTTAGACCCGGAGGACCTAGGCTCCCGGAGGACAAGGAACCGCCCAACATGGCATCGGAGGTGAGAGGGCCCTCGGGGGCGCCCGTCCTCCAAGCCTCCAAATGGGGACGAGGGGCGCCCTGGGAGCCAGCCGGGGCGTGACCTGCGCCTGCCGCCCTGGGGTACTGTCCTCTTTGGCTCCAGGCAATGGGTACCCCCTGGCGCACCTGCCAGAGCCCGGAAGAGAATTTTGTCCCTTCTTCCCGGTGTCCCCGCCACCATCTGCTCTCCCCCGTCCCTCAGCCCTCCCCAGCCCGTGTGGCAAACCCACCAACGCGCACTCCTGGGGAAAGAGCCTCTGACCTCACCTGACCTGACAGCGATCTGGGCCTGGCGGGGAAAGGTGCCTCCCACTCACTCAGCCTCCCCACGTCTTCATTGCTTTCTTCCCTCCCACTCACCCCTCCCCCCCGCCCCACCCCTCCCGTCCTATGCCCCTCCCCAGCCTTAGCAGCTGTCCCTGCGCAGCCGAGGCCACCGCACTCTTGTGTTTGTTAAGAGCCAGGAGGCAGGGAATCGTGTGCCCTGTGGCTCCGGTCCCACTGGCCTCTCCCCCTCAGAGCCAGAGGACTCCTGGGTTCTCTCCCTGACCGAGTGGCAGGAGTCTGGGCCACAGATCCCTTTCCTTGGGCCTCGATTTACCTGGCTGATGGGGAGAATGTTAGCTGTCTGCCTCCTCTGTGAGGTACCGGATGGTGAGGTCATTGCTTTGAAACTTTCAGGTAAAAGGGGCTGTTTGCGTGATGCCGAGAAGGGAACCCTGGGCCTGGGAAGCGCAAGGTGTGGGTTCCAGACCCCTCTGGCACCCATTAGCTGGCAAGTCACTTCCTCTGTGGGCCTCAGTTTGTTTACTGAATAAATGGGTTAAGACTGTCTGCTCTGCTAGCTTCTGGGTCATGGCAGAGGGCCTGTGGCAGGGCCTGGGCTTTGCAGCCAAACAGACTTGGTTTCTGAAGCAGTCACTCAACCTCCCTGAGCATATTTCCTCATTTGTAAAATAGGGATAACTTCATAGAGGGTATAACGGCATCTGGAAATGCCTAGCACAGGGCCAAGCAATAGTAGGTGTTAATAAACTGTGGCTAATGACGTTAAGAGGGATAAAACTGGTATTTCCTGTGTGTTCTAAATTGACTATTGCTGGGAATTCCCTGGCAGTCCAGTGGTTAGGACTCCCAGCTTTCACTGCTGAAGGCTAGGGTTCAATCCCTGGTTGAGGGAACTAAAATCCCATTAGCTGCATGCATGGCAAAATTAAAAATAATAACAATAGCTGTTGCTCTTTCATCTCAGCCAACCAACGTCCCTGCCCCCTCACCCCTCACATCCTTCTGGCCCAACTGTGCCCTGGTTCACAGCAGTGCCCTCTCCTGCCACCTCACCCCTCCCTCAGTGTACAGGTGGTGGCATCTCTCTCTGACATCCCCCTGGAGTCCTTTTATGCCTGCCAGCAGGGTAGGAGCTTGGCCCCAAGCTCCACTGCAGAATGGGCTGCCTTCAGGAGACCAGGGTGCTGGGCGACCTCTGCTTGCCCCAGGCTGTCCTGTGGGTTGGCACTAATTGGTTTGGCTGCAGCCCCAGTTGTTAAATAGCTGTTATTACTAACAACCCATGAAGGGAGTCCAGGGGCCTGCTGGGGAGGGGATTCCAGGTGACACCTAGCTGAAGGGCAGCCTGGCTCTGCATCCTGAATGGCTGGCTGAGGCCCTCAGGCCCCAGTGGTGAGGACCAGGGCCCCACGTGGTGCTTTGCTGGAAATCTGGGCTTGGCCGGGCAGCATGAGGGCAAGGGGCGGGTCCAGCTCACAGGGAGGGCAGAGACTGCATCTGCAGGGCAGAGTCCTCTGGCAGCTGAGGTTGCTGGGCACTGAAGCATCAGCTCCCAGCCTGGGGTGGTGGTGGAGGGTCCAGGGGGACATGCAGAGAACAGGAGTGGAGCTAAGGCACACCCTAACCCCTGGTAGTCCTCGGCCCCTCCCTCAGTAATATCTAGAATTTACTGAGTACCAGGCACTGTGCTATGTATGCAATTAGCTTAATCTAATTGAATACTCACAACAACCCCACCAGATAAATACTATTATTATTCCTATTGTGTAGAGGGGCAACCCTGACATTAGAGAGGTTACATAAAGGCCTATGGTTAGGTGGCTAACAGAAGTCTGGGACATTGCAGGGGGACAGAGGAGAACATATGTCCTCAGTGGCCACTGTAAACCACCCCCCCAACCGAAAAGATGCCAGTGAAGTAACATGCCCCCTTCCACCCCAGACCACTCTGCTCCCATCCTTGGCAAGCTGGGGTGTGCCCCTCAGGGGTTCTGCACCCTCTCCCCGATCTGTCCCATGTCCTGGCCTACGCCCTCTGCCCCACCCCTCTACCCTTGACTCCTGGGACTCAGGTCAGCCAGTGACCTCCTATAAGGCCAGTGATAATGGGTGTATTGGGGGTGCCCTCCAGAGGTAAGGTGGGGGTTGGGACCTTAGGTCCCTCCCCAGGCGTGGGAGGGAGATACAGCTCACTGGGGACTGATGGGGCCCCTTGGGTTCCTCCTCACCTGTCCCTGCAGTGAATGTTCAGAACAGCAGAGCCAGCTGAGAGGCACTGGTGGAGTGAGTGTGGGGTTTAGAGCAGGGCTCTGACTTCCGGCTGCAGGGCTGCGGTCCTGGCTCTGCCATGCTCAGCAAGGACAAATTACAGAGCTTCTCTGGGCCTCAGTTTTCCCTCTCTGTAGGAGGACAGGATGGGTACCCACTTCGCACGGTTGTGGTTGGTGTGTGTCAAGCAATGAGAACGGTGCCTGGTACACAGTGAGAATGTGACGTATGTTACCCGGTATAATCGTCACTGTCCCTGATACATCAGAGCTGGATTCTAGAGTGACTTCTCACTTTGGTCACTGGCAGTCGGGGTCCCAGAAGTTTGGCTGTGGTTTCAGGGTGCCTGCCACCATCTCCCCAGAGCAGTGCCCCATGATGGGAAAGAACCCTAACTTCAGTGTCCAGTCAGGTTCCCACATTCACCCCGAGTGACTCTGGGCAAGTTCCTGACCCTCTCTGAGCCTCAGTTTCCTTATCTGTCCAGTGAGAATAACCCCGCCCACTAGCTCCCCCTGCCATCAGACTGGGTAACTCTCCTCAGGGCTCTTTGTGGGAGGCATTGTTCTCAAGGCGGGCGGAGATTAATCGCTTCTGCCCTTCTGGCCAGAGCGGGAAGCTATGGGGTGGCCGGTTTGTCGGCTCAGTGGACCCCATCATGGAGAAGTTCAACTCGTCCATCACGTACGACCGGCACCTCTGGGAGGCAGACGTGCAAGGCAGCAAAGCCTACAGCCGGGGCCTGGAGAAGGCGGGGCTCCTCACCAAAGCCGAGATGGACCAGATACTCCATGGCCTGGACAAGGTACTCTCCACACCCCCAGGCCCACCCCAGAGCATGCCCCTCGCCCCTTGCCATGGACCCAGGCTTTCACCAAATCCCTGAGTACAGGCTGCAGTAACATCCTGAGATGACAGGCTAGGGATCTCCGCTGGTAGTGATCAGGTGCCTAGAGAGGTGCCCTTCAACCACGGGCAGCGCTGACCGTCTCTCTTCATCCCTCAATGCCCCTGTGCTCCTGTGGCTCCTGAGAAAGGTGTTCTGGACCTGAGATGCTCCCAAGGGAGGAGTGCTGCCAGGACTCAGCTGCCGATGCCCACCCTCCTGACCCACTGTGTTGCTGCCATCTCTGCAGGTAGCTGAGGAATGGGCTCAGGGCACCTTCAAACTAAACCCCAATGATGAGGACATCCATACGGCCAATGAGCGACGTCTGAAGGTGCGACACCCACTGTCTCATCCCCTACCCCTCCCCTCTCTGCCTTGCCTGGGGCCACTTGGAGCATAAGCACCACCATTCTGTCCGCTTCATCACTGGGACCTCAGAGTAGGAGGCATCAGCAGAGATGGCAGAGACTGGGCAGATCTGGGGGACCCCAGGACAGGGAGGGAGGGTCACAGGCCAGGGAGGAAGTGCAACTGCCTGGGCTAACACCACTGGGCTGTGAGCAGGCAGACCCCAACTGCATGCCTCCCTCCACCCCCAGGAGCTCATTGGTGAAACTGCGGGGAAGCTGCACACGGGACGAAGTCGGAATGACCAGGTGCCGCCACCTCCCTGACCCCCCACCCAGGGCCTTCCCAACCTTGGGGTTCCAGGGAGCAGAGTTAGGGCTGAGTCCCTGAGTGCCAGCTCCTCCTCCCCACAGGTAGTCACTGACCTCAGGCTGTGGATGCGGCAGAATTGTTCCACGCTCTCAGCCCTCCTCTGCGAACTCATCAGAACCATGGTGGATCGGGCAGAGGCGTGAGTCCCGGGGTCACCAGGTGGCAGAGAGGGCCAGGAGGGCAGCCAAGGTCTCTGCTCCCCCCAGATGGGCAGCCCGAATGCCAGACCTAAGTGGCGGGGGTGAAGAGGGCAGGGGGGCCAGGCTCTGGGTTACTGGGAGCCCCAGAACTCCTGGGCCGAGTGAGGCAGAGCAGCCAGCAGAGGGCCATTTCTTTCAGCATCGCCTGCCCCGCCAGCCCAGCTCGACAGGCAGGAGAGCTCACCCTTTGTGGATTCACAGGCTGGAGGCTAAGGCACCAGGCAGGTGCCCTGAAGCCTGAGGAAGGGGCTGGCTTGCTGGGGCGCCAGAGAGTCCCTTCTCAGCTGCCTGCACCTCAGGTCCCCTGTCTCTGCCCAGCAAGGCAGGCAAAGGACAGAGCTGAGGGCTGCCTCCCACTGACCTTATCCCAAAGCTGACATGACTGCTGAGAAGAGTCTACTTGTGTCAGAGATGGGGTTGAGCCTTCCTTGTCCCAACTCGCGGTGACCCTGGTTTCACTGACTTCACAACTAGGGGAAAACAAGGGCCCAGAAATGTCATCCTGTGGGAGACAGGTGTCAGGAGAATAGGGAGTGACTGTGATGAGTAAGGGTTTCTTTCTTGGAGTGACGGTACACTTTAAGTGGGTGATTGGTATATTGACTATATCTCAACAAAGTCGTTAGTTTTAACAAACCAGAACCATCACCCACAGCATGTCTGCTACTGTGCAGCTTCCGATAAAGTGCTCCCAGCTTTTCTGGGCTCCTCCAGGGCTCCTCTCATGCTCACAGCCTCAGCCTCTCACTGCCAGTGGTGCCGGCCGTGCACCTTCCTCCCTGCCCTGGCCTCTGCCCAGATCTGCTGCCAAGGTGCAGAGGTGGGAGCTGAAGGTGTGATCTACATCTGGTCCTACACTCACCCCCTGGAGGCCCCATAGCCACGACCCAGCACACTGCCTGCTTCCCAACCTTCGCTGACACCATGTTTGTCTTCGGGAGGTCATCTGGTCCCTTGAACAGGCAGATCCTTGGCGAGCCTGCCCTGCTGTTCTCAAGAGGGGCCCAGGCCTGCAGGGTCCCAAGTGTGACAGGCAGGCCTCACCTGAATCTTGAGAGCCCCTCAGACACCCTGTCCTTGCTCTTCCCCGCAGGGAACGTGATGTCCTCTTCCCAGGGTACACACACCTGCAAAGAGCTCAGCCCATCCGCTGGAGCCACTGGATCCTGAGGTCAGAGGGGTCATGATGGAGATGCGTGATGGAGGATGTGATGAGGGGGTGTGGCAGAGGGGAGGGGCCAGGCCAGGCTACCCTGACCCTCTGGCCTCTTGGCCTTCCACAGCCATGCCGTGGCTCTGACCAGAGACTCTGAAAGGCTGCTGGAGGTGCGGAAGCGGATCAATGTCCTGCCCCTGGGGAGGTGAGCAGGGTCCAGTGCTCTGAGGGTGGGGTGGGGTTCCTGCCACCTAGTTAGTATAGTCCTAGGGGTTCAGCAGAAGAGGAGGAACCAAGAAGGACAGAGGCAGACAGGAAGCCAGGTGATCAGCCTCCCTGTCCAGGGTGGGAAGGGGACCATACATGGGCCCTCAGCTCTAAGATGAGGACAACAAGTCGTCAGAGAAAAGCCAGGGCTCTCTGGAGAGCCAGCCAGCTTTGTTTCCCCACCTGAGGGGACAGGTGTCTGGCTCCCAAGCTGACCAGGCTCTGGCCCTGACAGCCAGCACTCAGCATGCATGTGCATGTGTGTACGGCCAAGCCCTGCTCACTCAGTACCCCACCCCACTCTGCAGCGGGGCGATTGCAGGCAACCCCCTGGGTGTGGACCGGGAGCTGCTCCGAGCAGGTGAGGCACCCTGCCCCTCCTTTCCCGGGAGACAACCCTCAGCATCTGCCAGGTCGCACAGACACACACCTAGAGAGGGCAGGGGTCTGGGTGAGACTCTGGTTGTTTCTGTGGACTTGAGGCTAGAGAGGCCTGGGGAGGCCATGCCAGGGGCGCGTGGCGCCGGGGAAACTCAGGACTCCCGCCTCCCTCCTGGAGCCTGTACAAGAGACCTCCCCAACTCCTGCCCCTCCCTACTCTGCCTCCCTGGGAAGGGGTCCAGGGGGAGGTGGCTGGGCAGCCTGGTTCAGGGAAGGGAGAAGGCCCCTCCCAGCACTCCAGCCCAGCCCTATTGCCTTCCCTTTCCCACGTCGCTCAGAACTGGACTTTGAGGCCATCACTCTCAACAGCATGGATGCCACCAGTGAGCGAGACTTTGTGGGTGAGTCCTGGAAGCCAAGCAAGAGATGTGGGTTCGATCCCCGGGTCGGGAAGACTCCCTGGAGGAGGAAATGGCAATCCACTCCAGCATTCTTACCTGGGAGATCCCATGGACAGAGGAGCCTTCTGGGCTGCAGTCCATGCTTCCTGCCACCCCTGTATGGCCCACCTGGAGCCTCTCCAGGCTGGGTGAGCAGCAAGACAGGCCTGGTGAGCAGACAGCTTGCTCTCCCTTTTCTCTCACAAGCCGAGTTCCTGTTCTGGGCTTCACTGTGCATGACCCACCTCAGCAGGATGGCTGAGGATCTCATCCTCTATGGCACCAAGGAATTCAGCTTCGTGCAGCTCTCAGATGCCTACAGGTGAGGCTGTGCCCGCCTTCACCCAGCTCTGCACCCCCTGCAGGGCTGGCTTCCTCCCTACCCCTGCCCCGGGCAGAGCTGCCCAGCAGACCAGCCAAGTGGCACGGGAGCCCCTTCAGCCCCAACATCTCTGTCTCCAGCACTGGAAGCAGCCTGATGCCCCAGAAGAAAAACCCAGATAGCCTGGAGCTGATCCGGAGCAAGGCGGGGCGAGTGTTTGGGCGGGTGAGCCAGGCAGGGAAGGGGGCATGGCCTCAGCACTGACCCGAGGGTCCAGAGGGAACTTCCCGGACAGGCTCCGAAGTCCTCCCTCTCCCCACAGTGTGCTGGGCTCCTGATGACACTCAAGGGACTTCCGAGCACCTACAACAAGGACTTACAGGTTTGGGACCCACCTGTTCTACCTCACACACCAGTTCTCGGGGTCCTGGCTCATCCGGGCAGGGGCACCACAGAATTGCCACCTCTCATTGTGTACACCCAGCCCTTGACCACCCTGAGAGCTCTCTCTCCCTCAGTGCGGGGTGTATGAGGTGCTGTGTGTTCCCAGTGGGAGGCAGTGGGGGTGCCTCCGTGGGGACCCAGCTCCTGGGCCCTTACTTCCTGCCACGTGTCTCCCAGGAGGACAAGGAAGCCGTGTTTGAAGTGTCCGACACCATGAGTGCCGTCCTCCAAGTGGCCACTGGCGTCATCTCTACCTTGCAGGCAAGACACACCTCTTCTCCCCGAGGCTCTTAAACTTGGGGGTGGTGTGCCAGGAGGGTGATCTTGAGAGAAGGCAGGGGTGGGTGGGTCTGGAAGACATGGGGCAGAGGGAGGGGGTATGTGCTTGGTCCTACCCTGGGAACAGTGAAGAGACACACTTAAGCTGCTGCAGGAGAATGGAAGTGGGTTAGATCCAAGGAGCCCCCTCAGCTGGCCCGACCAGATTTCTTTTTTAACCACTTACTGTGGGAGGATTCAATCTACAGCAGTGGAGAGGATGCTTCCCCAATGGCACAGCGGTAAAAGAACCCGCCTGCAATGCAGGAGACCTGGCTTCCATCCCTGGGTCGGGAAGATCACCTGGAGGAGGACATGGCAACCCGCTCCAGTATTCTTGCCTGGGAAAGCCCATGGACAGAGGAGCCTGGCAGGCTACAGTCCAAAGGGTCACAAAGAGTTGGACACGCCTGAGCATGCACACATGCACACACCCCTACATAGTAACAGCATTCCACTTAAACAACAGTCAGCTCATGGCCATTCTCGATTCAACTATCTTTACCCACTACCTCGTCCACCATTATTTTTAAGCAAATCCCCCTCATATAATTTCATTTCTAAATATAGCTCAGGGTATGTCTCTAAAGTAGTGGTTCTCAAAGTGTGGTCCCGGGACCAGCAGTATCAGCATCTCCTGAGAACTTGACAGACCTGCAATCCTAGGCCCCCCTGCAGACCCGCTGAATCACAGGCTCTGGGATAGGCCACACAATCTATAGTCTAATCAATCCTCCAGGTGATTCTGATGCATTCTAAAGATCAGCTAACACTTATCAGTAGTTAGGAAATGGTGGCTCAAGCAGAGAGCAGGACAGGGTGGGTGAGAGGGGGTCTGCCCAAGGCAGGGGACATCCTGACTGAGCAGGATGGGCCTGGAGCGGGCAGTTCTAGGACTCAGGGCGCCCGGCTTCACTGCCGGCCTGGCCTGCTGTCCCCAGATTCACCGTGAGAACATGGGACGGGCTCTGAGTCCTGACATGCTGGCCACTGACCTCGCCTACTACCTGGTCCGCAAAGGGGTGAGTGTGGGGCAGCCAGGGTGGAGGGGCCAGGGGACAGGGATGTTTCCCAGGCCTGGGTTGGGGGGGCCATGGCGGCGCCAGCACCCCAACAGAACAAGGGGTGGAGAAAGTTGCGTCAGCACCGCCCTCCTACCCGGCTCTCCCAGATGCCATTCCGCCAGGCCCACGAGGCCTCCGGGAAAGCCGTGTTCATGGCCGAGACCAAGGGGGTCGCCCTCAATCAGCTGTCACTGCAGGAGCTGCAGACCATCAGGTGCGCCCCCCTTCCTGTTTCTCCCCCCATCTGCTGGGAAGCAAGCCCAGGCCCCCTGAGACTGGGTTGGCCGAGAGGTCCTGGCCCACCTCCTCCTTCCCCCCCAGCCCCCTGTTCTCGGGAGACGTGAACCACGTGTGGGACTACGGACACAGCGTGGAGCAGTACGAGGCCCTGGGGGGCACCGCGCGCTCCAGTGTCGACTGGCAGATCGGCCAACTGCGAGCTCTCCTCCGGGCACAACAGGCCTAAGCCCTCCCCGCGCCTCTCCCAAATAAAGTGGGCCCTAGAGGAGGCTGTGTGTGTTTCCTGCCCAGCCTGTCTGTCAGTGGTGAGCTCTGGCGGGTGGGGGTCTGTTGAGAGCACAGTAGAGGCCATCAGGGTAGAAGAACCGGGTGACGTAGATAGAGTCACGCATGCGGAAGGCCCAATGGGGCGCTCACCGGCACCTCCTCCGCCCTGCGCAGTCCCCGCCCTCACTGTCCCCGCAAAGGCCCCGCCCCCTCACCACCCCGTGAAGGCCCCGCCTCTGTCACCACCCCGCGAAGGCCCCGCCTCTGTCACCGCCCCTGCACAGGCCCCGCCCCCGTCACCGCAGGACCTCACGGTGATTTCCAGCCTTGGGTGTCCAGGCAGCACAGGCCTCCTTGGATCCGTGGGGGGACCGGATGGGCTTGGCTCACCCAGTCAGCCCCTGTCCATCCCCCTTCCTTCTGGGACCCTCCCTAGGCTCTCCTGCTCCCATTCTCCTCTGGGTTAACGCAGCCCTTCCCTGGACCATCAGGCAGCACTGCAGGGTGCCCTGTACCTTCTTAAAGGGAATGTGCTATCTGGTAGCAAAGTTGGTCATCCGGATAGTGAGTGATGCCTGGCGCTAGGTGAGCTCCATGCATGGGTAAAGAGGACGCTTTCTCCACCCTGGAGAGTAATGTACAAATTCACAAGCACTGACCTTGAGGTGAGGCCCACAGACAGGTGGTGCCCGAGGGGTCTGCCCATGCTGTGGTCAAGGGAAAGGTTGGTCACGTTGAGGCTGCAAAGAGCCTGAGATAAGGTCTGGCACATGGTCAGTGTTCAATAACAGCAGTCCCCAGAGCCAGCAGAGATGCAGAGGCCTCTTCTATTAATACACAAATCTCACCAAAATCCTGATAATAAAACGTAAATTTCAGACATTAACAACAAAGATAAGCTAAACACAAAGTACGACTAAGTCCTCCAAGTGAGTCTGGGAGCAATGAAAAGATTTTGTAAATTAAAGAACAAAAACCCTGGCACTGGGGGACACGACACCAAATTCCCAAAAGGGTCAAAGCTATGGGTCACAGCATCTTCTAGAGCAGTGTTTCTCAAAGCTGGGGTTCCTGACTATTACCATCATCATCTTCAAACTTGTTAAAAATCAAATTTTCAGTCCCCACCAAGACCTGTTGTTCTTCAGTCGCTAAGTTGTGTCTCTTGTGATGCCACGGACTGTAGCCTGCCAGGCTCTTCTGTCCATGAGATTTCCCAGGCAAGAATACTGGAGTGGGTTGCCATTTCCTTCTGCAGGGGATCTTCCTGACCCAGGGATTGAACTCACCTCTCCTGCTTGGCAGGAAAGTCTTTACCACTGAGTCACCTGAGAAATCCCCAGCAAGACCTACTGAATCATTCTGGGTGGGGTCCAGCAATCTGTTTTAACAAGTGCTTCAGGTAATCCTGATGTGTGCTCAGGTTTGAGAGGCCCTGATCAGAGGATGAGATGGCTGGATGGCATCACCGACTCGATGGACATGAGTTTGAGTAAACCCCGAGAGTTGGTGATGGACAGGGAGGCCTGGCGTGCTTCGATTCATGGGGTTGCAAAGAGTCGGACAGACTGAGCGACTGAACTGACTGACTGACTGACTGATCTTAATCTTGTTACACAAAGCTGCTGCAGACCAGCAATATCCTCACCCAGGGCCTGCCCTGATCTGCTGATTCAGATACCCAGGTGATTCCTGTGCACACTTAAGAGTCAGAAATTCTGATTTGTGGATAAACAAGAAGGATTTATTTTATAGTACAGGAAACTATATATTTGGTAACTTGTCATATCCTATAATGGGCTTCCCAGGTGGCTCAGTGGTAAAGAATCCACCTGCCAGTGTAGGAGATGTGGGTTTGACCCCTGGGTTGAGAAAATACTCTGGAAGAGGACATGGCAACTCACTCCAGTATCCTTGCCTGGAGAATCCCATGGATAGAGGAGCCTGGTGGGCTACAGTCCATGGGGTCACAAAGAGTCGGACACAACTGAGTGACAGCATACATGCAATATCCTATAATGGAAGAAAATTTGAAAAAATACATATGTATGTGTGTGTGTATCTGAATCACTTTGCTGTATACCTAAAACTAGCACAGTACTGTAAATTATATTTCAATTTTTAAAAATAAAAAACTCAGAGGGGTCAAATAAACAAAGTTGTAGGACTAAAAAAAAAAGTGCTAATCTAGAGAATGCCTAAAACCTAGTTTTCAAAATGAAGGACGGGCTTATGTCCATACAACCAGACAGGATTAAAATAACTGTGATGCACTTTCCACAGGGAGAGTGGGAGTACACTGAGGCAGGAAGTTGCTGGGACACCTCCCTCCATCTCTCTCTACTGCCTCCATTGAAGGGGGACACCTCAGCCTGAATGGAGACTCTGTTTCCAGATGATCCTGTTAAGTTATTCCTTAAGTGAATTGCATTCAGCCTCATGGGGCTTGCCACTCAGGAGCCTGGCCACGTGTGATCCTGCCTGACCAGAAGGAATGGCCTGTTCTAGCTCAGGGAGAGCAAGGGTTTGTGCAGCTTTTCTGCAGACTCTGTACTAACTGCCCAGGTCTGCCTCTTCCTGTTCTGCTACCAACCGGCTACATCCTTTCCGCTTGTCTGTTTTTAATCTCAGAAGCTGTATACACCAAAGCTCAGTATGACCGTATATTGATTTCCTATTGCTGTAACAAAGTACCCAAAAAATCATGGCTTAAATCAAAATAACACTATCTTACAATTCTTGAAGTCAGAAATCTGAAGTGGGTTTTATGGAAGCAAAACTGTATGTCAGCAGGGCCAGGCTTCTTCCAGAGACTAGAGGAGAATCTCCTTGTCTTTTCTAGTTTCTAGAGGCCACATGCATCCCTTGGCTTATGGCCCCTTCCTCCATTTTCAAGGCCAGCAGTGTAACACTGCCAAATCTCTCTCGGATCCTCTGCTTCCACTGTCATATTGTTATTTATTTATTTTTATTGACATATGGCACAGTGATAAAGGATCCACCTGCCAATGCAGGAGATGCCAGTTTGATCCCAAGGAGGGGAAGATCCCCTGGAGGAAGAAATGTCAACCCACTCCAGTATTCTTGCCTGGGAAATCCATGGACAGAGGAGCCTGGAAGGCTACAGTCCATGGGGTCGCAAAGAGTCAGACATGACTTAGCAACTAAACAAAAATAGTTGAATTACAGTGTTGTGTTAATTTTGTGTTAATAATCGTGTATACTTTGTGTACAGCAAAGTGACTATACATCTATATATACAACATATATATTCATTCCTTTTCATATTATTTTCCATTATGATTTATCACTGGATATTGAATATAGTTCCCCATGCTATACAGTAGGACTTTATTGTTTTATTGATTCTACATACACCAGTTTGCATCTGCTAATCCCAAATTCTCAACCCAAACCTCTCCTACCCACTTTCCCCTTGGCAGCCACCAGTCTATTCTCTATGTTCCTGATTCTATTTCTGTTTCATAGACAGATTCATTTGCATTGTCATATCTTTTGACTGACCTTTCTGCTTTTTTATAAGGACCCTTGTGATTACATTAGAACCACCTGAATAAACCAAGATAATCTTGTCTCAATATCCTTAACTTAATCACATCTTCACTTTTTATCATGTTAAGTACCAGGGATTATTAATCAGTTTACTACATTCTGTCTGGCTCTCAAAGATTTATGTCTGTCCCACATGCAGTGTGCATTCACTCCACTCTGCCAAAGTCTCAACTCATTACAGCATCAGCTCAAGTTCAAAATTTCATCTAAATCTCATCAGCTCAGAAGTCCCATATCTCATCATTTAAAATGGGTATGAATGAGATTTTGAGTATGACCCATCCTGGGGCAAAATTCCTCCCTATCCATGAACCTGTGATTGTGGTGAGGATTAAATGAGTTCATACATAAAAATTCAAGAAATAAGAGGACTTCTGCGGTGGTTCAGTGGTTAAGAATCTGCCTTCCAATGAAGGGGATGTGGGTTTGATCTCTAGCCAGGGAAGTAAGATCCCACATGCCTCAGGGCAACTACTGAGCCCGCATGCTGCAACAAAAGATCCCCACGTGCCTCAATGAAGCTCACACATGCCACAATTAAGACCCAAGGCAATCAAATATATATTGAAAAAAGTAGCCTTTTAAAAAATTCTAGAAATAAAGAATCTGCTACTAAAATATGCTGTTTCCCAAAACAGAAACAGGATAATGGTTACAGACATTTCATTTAAAAAAGACAAAAGGGAATTCCCTGGTGCTCCAGTGGCTAAGATTCTGCACTCCCAATGCAGGGGACCCAGGCTCAATCCCTGTTCAGGGAACTAGATCCTAAATGCTTCTACTAAAAGACCTGCATGCTTCAATAAGATCTAAGATTCTGCATGTTGCAACTAAGACTTGGTACAGCCAAATAAGTAAATAAATATATAGTTTTTAAAAGTCTCCGGGCTTTTCTTCAGGAAGGGAGGACAAAATAAACTTATGGGTTTGCCAATCTAATGTTCTGCTAATCTTGAAAAATACTGATTCTGATGAATTTTGGTATGAAGCAGAATTATAGTTAAACACATTTAACTTAAAAACATTGAGAGGCAAAATATCATATATTACATAATTTATATAAAACATCCAGATTAGCTAAATCTGGAGAAAAAAATAAATTAGTGGTGGCTTAGGGCTGACTGGGAGGAGCAGAAGGATAGATAACTAAAAGGCACACAGGGTTTCTTTTTGAGGTGATGAAAATATTCTGAAATTGGTCATAATGATGGTCGTACATATACATGAATATACTAAAGTCCATTCAATTATATACTTTAAATGAAGGAATTATGTATGTGTATTGTATCTCAATAAAATCATTTAAAGACATTATAAATCAACTACACCACAATAAAAAATTTTAACAAACTGTTTAAAAAATAAACCCTATGATGCTCTTTGCTG